TCCTTCCTTACCTGGGACCCAGAGCAGCAAGAGGCCCAGAAACGGAGTGGAGACCCTGGTGTCCATGCTGTGTCCTCACTGGGACTGACTCCCATGCAGGATGAGACCAGCAGCTTATTAAGAAGTCCTCAAGCAGCTGGCTGTGCTCTTGGGATATGCAAATGAGCAGGGCTGAGAGGGGTGTGGCCCAGCTGCAGGGCGGGCTCATCTCAGGACAGGCTCAGTGTTCTCTGGGGTCCCTGTCCAGACCAGGGCAGCACAGATTTCACGCAGAGAATGTGTTTCTCCATTGGGCCACAGGACGGAATCCAGCTGCTCTCCCACGAGCGCAGTGAACTTGTTCTCACATTTCAGAATGCACTTTTCCTGAGGACCACAGTTATATATTATGATCCCTCTGAGAAGGAGGAATCAAGGGAAACAAATGGGCTGTCTCAATCTTAGGTATAGAATGAGAAGTAAAGACAGGAGAAGAACAGAATGAATAAACTCTTTCAACTCGTCTAGGTTCCACTACTCATTATCCAGCATGACTCAGAGGGCAGGGGAGGACCTAGGCAGTTATGCTTTCTAGCCCCAGGCTTCCCCAGGCAGACACAGGAGCACCTGCTTCTGCCTGTCATCCACCAAAGCAGTTCTAAGGCCCAGCCACGTTCTTGCTCTCCATTTTCCTTTCAGGACAAGTTAGAAGTATTTCAGAAGCAATGCAAGAAACGGGATGTATTTAAAATCATAAACACACGTCTGGGTGTGGGAATATTTAAGAATGGAGCAGCAGCCTGGATACAGTAGAAAGGACCAACATCCTTTTTTCCTGCTTTGACAGTATCAACACCTGGACTTTTCATGATTGGGCCTAAGGCCTCATGATCACAAGAGACCTGAAGTGTTTCTATGCCGCAAGGACTCTTAAAACAGTTTCTGGAAGAAATCCGAGCAAAAGCTTTCACCTCCTCCTCCCATCTCAGGTGTATGAAAGTCTTCCCCAGCACCTGTGCACCTTCTTCATTCCTCTCACATCTCACTTCTGAGATGCTCACAGGAGCCTCCCAATCCCGGCCGTTGCCAAAGCTGCAAGAGGCTCATCTGTGTCTGCCATGCACAGCAGGTCCGAGCTGCTGCTGAATAAACTGAAGGAACCAGAGATGACTGCTGGGAAAGGGATCAGTTTCTACTAGGTCCTTTAAAAATAAATAACCCTGTGCTTCTAACTTATATTGGATGGAGAAGAAAGATCTGAAGAAACACTGTATCTGCTCTGTGAGGAACAAGCAGGGCTCCAGAATAGCAGGAAAAACAAATCCTCCTTATCCAGGTGCTAAGGGTGCTTTTCGAAACGGTGGAGATGGGGGCAGTGAATTAAGGGTCTTAACAGATGTTCAAGCACTGGAGGGAAAGGGAGAGGTTTGGAACAGGGACCTGAACCCAGGGAGAGTTCAGGCTTGCAGTGCTGAGAGCTGCTCCCCTGACCCATGTGGCAGAGGGCTTGCAAGACAGGAGACACTGCCCATGGTGCCACCTGGTAAGGGGTCCAGGGACAGAAAGTACTCAACACTCTGGGTGCTGACCAAGCTGAGAGCCCCAGGAGGAGAAACACCGTGAGAGACCAGAACCACAGAGCTGCCCTGGTTCTGTGAGCTGAAGGTTTTCCTGAGTGAGAACCTGAGCAGCTGATCCTCCTGATCCTCATGAACAGAGGCCAAGAAGAGGATCAGCAAATATCCCCATCCTGAGTCTCAGATCATTCAGCTTCTGATCTGCTTAGAAAGATGAAGAGCATGTGTTACACAAATAAATATGTAAATTGTTTATCTGCTGTGTGCATGCAATACATTAACTATTAATCTCATGTGGTTATAAATGATCCTTTAATTGCTTGTGTAACATACTATTTTCAATTCTGGCAAGTTGCACCTGAACAGTGAGACCCCAGCGTCAGCATGTTACTTACTGATCCTTCCCCACTGCAGAGTCTGAGCAGCACGAAGCTCAGAACCCACCCTCAGCCCACCCTGTGAAACAAGCAGTGACCTGCACTCACTGCTGAGGACTCTGGAGGACAGCAGGGGCAGGTCTGCAGTCACAGCCCCTCTCCCAGCCCCCCTTCCCCTCCTCTCAGGGATTATCCAGTGCGTCTCTGAATGGAGTTGAGTTCTGTGGGTTCTGTCACCTCCACTTCTGAATTCATGAGGCCATTTTATTCTTACTTCACTCACAGCTGGCCACATTCACAGCTGTGGCCCTTGTTCTTGAACCCATCCAGTGTCATTGCTGACAGAGGCCTCGTGGGAAGGTCATCATAATCAGGTGTACTGCCAATCAAAAAGTAAAACAGGAAACACTAAGGACGGCAGATGGGGAAGACATGGTCATGGTCCTCAGAGACCCCACAGCCACGTAAGTCCTAAAGGCTGGGCAGAGAGCTACCTGCCTTAGTGACTTCCTAAAGGGAGATATCACTTCTACTAGCCCAGTGTTTCTAAGATGAGGCCTCAGTGTTTGTTTATTGTGCGGCTGTTCGCCCTCTACTGGAAGTCCTGTAACATAGCACCCTATTCATTTTGGTACCCTAAGGCCTTCACTGATAGCTTCAGTTGCATTCATGAAACTGATCCTATTCTATCAATTACCAGGCAAGTTTCTATACAAAATTCAAGTAATTCCTCTTAATAAATCTCCCAACTACCAAGGACAAAAGGCTAACAGTTCATCTAGAGTTCTATAAAGATAATGGTCACAGGACAGTGAACATAACATGTAACCCACACGATATGACCAGCATGTGGTTTTGGCAAACACCACAGGCCCTTAAGACCCTGCAGGAGATGGTGGTAGATGGAAGAATCATGGTAGAGATCTATAAGCCCATCCCATCCCTCCTCTCCCAGGACACCTTCCAGAGCAGCCTGTGAGAACCCCAGCAGTTCCTTGTTGCACACTCAGCAGTTGGCAAATGGTTGCAGCTGTGAAAGCTGAAATGTGAGAAGGTCCCAGAAGTGCTAGACTCCTGTGCAATACTCTCTACCTCTCTCCCCAGTCTCTGCACAGGGTGTGAGGAAGGGATCACAGCTAGCGTTTGGACCCAGGCACATCCCTGCTTCCACCAACACCTCCTTCCCTGAAAGGCCTCCAGGATCAGCAAATTCGAGTCTGACAGTTTAACATCTCTCAGGTAACAACTTCTTTGACTTTTCATTGTAAACAATGAACTTGAAGGATAGGAATATAATATTGCCACTGTAGAAGCCCCATGCTGGTACATTGGTGACTCTGCTATTGCAGGTATTGTTCATTGTATCACAAATATTAACTCATTCCAGAAAGCTTATAAGAGGATTGATCATGTCTAAACCAAAGAAGGAGGTGATAATAAATAAAGCTCAAAACCAAAGGAACACTCTCGGAATAGCAAATGTCTTGCCACAGACATTTCTGTTCAAGTTGAAGATGGTACTAAAACTAAACATTCTTCAGGTTTATCCGTATTTTTAGCATATTTAAATGTTGGTTCTTTAAGGGTATATAGTTGGGTTGATTAATTAGACATATAAATCTGTGTCATTTGGTTCGTTTGTGATAGTTTTATATTTCAATTGCAATTATACTTTTATCTGTAATGATATAAATTTTTGTACTTTTAAATATTCAAATTTTTTTATTTTTTATCGCATCTAGTCAGAGCTTTGTCACTGTTGTAACATGTATTTCCCTTAAAATGCTATGAACAAAAGAAACTAGGAATACTTTCTTTTCATATTTACTGCTTATTCTCTCTAAGGTAATAAACACAATTGTAGATATATTGCTTGCAGGAAGAAAACTGAGTCACAGCTCAGGAACCACCTCCTGAGCTTAAGTTGTAACCAGTGGTTAACACAGTACCAAGATGAGAAGAAAGCAAAGTAACCTCACACTTTTTCATTTACTCATTGCCAGAAAACTCTTGGTTAGGATACTATTTCCCTCTCTTCCTCTTGCTTGCTCTTTTTAGTCACCATCACTTTCTAATATGCAAACAACGCTTGGATTATGGATTGAATAGACAAATGCTATGAGTAACTCTCATCCCACGCATCTCTAAGGTGTACTCCAAAAAGGATGGCGTTGTAAACTGTTTTTATAACACAGTAACAGTGCTAAAGAGAAGGGTTGACTCCTTAAATTTATTATGACACAGCACTTCCTGAGATAAATATTGACTCAGTATGGGGGAGAAAGGAAACAAAACAGCTGAACAGCCAAGAGAATATCTGGGGCCACCAGACCTACTGGAGTAAATGTCAGTGAGATTTTTGCTTTGGCTGTAACAGTGTGCATGACATAGGGTAATTTTAACAGTGCTGAACAAAATGATTTTCTAACATGCCATAAATATGTGTATTTGTATTGATCAACAACCTGGCCCTGAGCCACGCAAGTCTGTTCAACACTAGAAATATATAGAGTATGATCAAGGAACTAAGCTTTTACTTCTAATTGACTTTTATCTACTAATGTACTTTTTGCATTTATCATGTGTGACAGCACAGATTTAGATGGAGTATTCAGTAATATCTCTAGGAACAAGTAGACTTTATGCAAGAGTCTGTCCTTCACACTGCACCTGGCTGGGATATACAACAGCCAAGGTACACATAGCACATGGCTGGATCTAGTCTAAAACACGTTGTAGACATTTTAAAATTCTTGTGTAGAATACATGCAAGGGCTTCTCTGTTGCTGTCTGAATCCAAAAGTCTGCCATAACCAGAGCTGTTTAGGGATGCTCACGTGTGCCTGCATTAAACCAAGACAGGCATTGTGATGTCTGCATTGCTGGAAATGAAAAGGAGGAGAGATGGTTAGGGTGCAGAGGAGTCTCCCTCCGTCCTTCTACCTCAACCTCCCAGTGCCCAGCAAAGCCTGGCTGCATCTGAGAAATGTGCTTAGCAGGTGGAGACACCAGGAGGAGCAGCTGGAGCCACCCAGCCTCACACTTCTGCTTCCCTGGCTGGTTGAAGTTATGGATGTATCACTGTGGGAGGTTCATCCCGTCTGTAGACAGTGATAATTCCCAACATCTTCAGGCTCTGGGCTGCTGATGGTGAGAGTGAAATCCGTCCTGGATTCACTGCCACAGAAGAACCTGGTTGGGACCCCAGGCTGTAAACTGGGTGCATCATAGATCCAGAGTTTAGGAGCTTTCCCTGGTTTCTGCTGAACCAGTGTAACCATTTCTCAGCATCCTCACTGGCCCAACAACTGACGATTGTCCTATAGACAACTGATGGATCCCCTATGGATGCAGATGAGGAGGATGGAGACTGGGTCATCTGGGTGTCACATCTGGCACCTGATAATGCAGACATAACAAATATCAGCACAGATAATCATGATAAAACACCTCCTTGAAGGGCCAGGCCACACTGACACACTGTGCTGAATAGAAGTGGCAGAGAGAGCAGCAGGAGCCCCAGGAGCTGAGCGGGGACCCTCATGTCCGTGCTGTGTCCTGACTGGGACTGACTCCTGCACAGGGTGTGAGCAGCCTATAAAGAAGTCCTCAGGGCCTGGGCTGTGTTCTGGGTACGTGCAAATCCAGAGGAGGGGACATCGGCACAGCTGCCGGGCTGCCCCATCTCAGTATAGTCCTAATGTCTCCTGGTGTCCTTGTTCAGACCAGAGCAGCACAGATTTCCCTTCAGAATATGTGTCTCCCTTGGGGCACAGGAGAGAATCAGGCTGCTCTCCCGTGGGCAGACTGAACTGTTGTTCTTTACACGGTTGAGAACACACTTTGCTTGAGTTCCTTCACCACTGCTCTCTGTTATGGACCCTTGAGAAGGAGGAATTTAGCAAAGCAAGGGGCTACTTCATAGGATATTTTGAAAAAGAAATGAAGACAGGAAGTGAGTAGAATCTATAAACCATTTGAACTTGTCTTGGTCCTCTACACATGATCACAGCCTGACTGAGATGACAGGAGAAGACATGACCAATTATGGTTTCCAGTCCTCCAGATCTGAGACTCCAACAAAATACACAAGGAGCATATAATGTTGCCTGTCTTCCAGCAAAGAGCCAGGTTCTTTGTGTTAATTTGCTTCTCAGAATACCTTAGAATTGCTTTAGAGGACAAGAGTAGAAACTATGGTAATTGTTAAAACCATAAATGGAAGTCTGAATTCTGGAGAATCTAAAATTGGTACAAAAGCTTTGAGACAATGGAAAGGCTTCAAATTCTTTATTCCTGGTGTGCCACAGAATTGTCAGTGTTGTTAATAAGGCCTCAGGGTCTCAAGAAGGCTGCAGTGTCTCTAAGCCTCAAGTATTCCTATAACTGTTTCAGGAAGAAATTCAGGCAAAGCTTTTCACCTGCCCTATTTTGAAACCTTTCCGAGTACTTGTCCATCTTCTTGATTTCTCCTGTATCTAATTTCTGAGATGGTTGCATCATTGTGCAAATCCCTGCTCCTGTCCTGGGCTGCAAGAGGCTCATCTGTGTTTACCAGGCACAGCAGGTCAGGGCCAGTGCTTAATCAAATAAAGGAAAGAGGAGATGGAGGTTGTGAATACATTAAATTTTTATAAGTCTCTTTTTAAACTTTCCCAATGCCTCTAACTTATACTGAATCTTCAAGAGAGCTCTGAAGGAAACCTTCATCTACTGGCATTGGAGCAAGCAGGACTAGGATGGTAATTAAGATAAATCTACTTACCCAAGTGGCAATGCTGGTTTTAGAAAGTGTGGAAACGAGGCCTAGGAATTCAAAGCCAGGAGAGCTTTCAGCCTGGAATGAAATGCAGAGGTTTGCAAACAGGGATTTCAAATCAGGGCTGAGGTCAGGTTTGCTGTGCTGAGAGCTGCTGGGCTCTCGCCTGGGCTGTGGGGAACCAGCAGGGATCAGGGACCCTGCCCATCGCACGGCTTGGCAGGGGATCCAGGGAGCAAAGTTGCTCGGCACCTCTGGGTGCAAAAGCAAGCTGAGAGTCCCTGAAAGGAGAAGGACCGTGAGAGGCCAGAACATCAGAGCTGGGCCTGGCTCTGTGGACTGACTGTTCTCAGTATGAGTGGAGGCCAAGAAGTCAAATTTTTAAAATGCCCCATTCCCAGAGTCTTGACTCACTCAGCATTTGTTCTGCTTAGAAAGACAAACAGCATATGTTACACAAATAAATATGTAAATCTGTTGTGTGCATGTGATACCTTAGCTATTAGTTTAATGTAGTAACGATTTTTATTATTTGTTGACATAGTAGTATAAATTCTGGCAAATTGAACAGGAACACAAGAACTCTCAGTGGGTGCATCACCATCTGGTCCTGCCCCAGTGTAGAGTCTGCACAGCATGAAGCTCAAGATCCATGCTCAGCCCCTGTGGACCAAGCACTGACCTGCGCTCACTGCTGAGGACTCCAGGGAATGGCAAGGGATCAGGCCTGAAATCACCGCCTCTCTCCCTGCCTAGAGTCCTCTCTGCTATGGGACACCACTAGCGCACCCGATCTGCATCTGTGAATGGAGATAGCTTCTGTGGACTCTGCTTCCCACATCAGTTATGGGACGTATTTTCTCACTGACTCTGGGCCTCTGCTCACACATAGTTTAGCCTGAGAAGCTCCCTGGAAAGGTTATCATAGCCAGTTGCATTACCAATCACAAAGTAAAACAGGAAATATTAAGAACTGGCAGATGGGGAAGACCTGGCCATTACCCCTAGAGACCCCAAACCTTGTGAGCTTAGAGAGCTGGGCAGAGAGCTCCCTGCCTTAGTGGCTCCCTAATGGGAAAGTATCACTTCTACAGTCCCAGCGTTTCTAGCATGAGGCCTCTGGGCTTTGTTTATTGTGGGCTTTGTTTGCCATCTCATAGACTATTTATAACATAACAAGCCTTATGGTTTGGGGCCCTTATGTCTTGAAACAATCTTTTCACCCATGTTCATGAAGCTGATCCTATACTACTAACTACCAGGTAAGAATCTGGAGAAAATTGAAATGATTCTTCTAAAAAGGTCATGCAACAGTTAAGGACAAAAGACTAACAGTTTACCTGATGTTCTGAAAAGACAGTGAGCAAGCACAGTTAGCTCTAGGCATCTGACCCACATGAAATGATGAAGATGTAATTTTGGCAAAGGGGATGGACTCAAACACCCTGCAGGGGGGGGTGCTAGGAAGGGTTGGGAGTCTGAGGGCTCCTGATTCAGATCTGTGAGACCAGCCCCATGATTTCCATCCTAAAACCCTTCCAAAGCAGCCTGTGAGAACCCCAGCAGCTCCCTTGTTGCACACTCAGCAGTTGGTGAGTGGTTGCAGCTGTGGCAGCTGAGCTATGAAAAGGTCCCAGAAGCGCTGGGCACACCACCTGCACACCACCGTCCACTCTGTCTCCACAGTCTCTGCACAGGGTGTGAGGAAGGAATCACAGCTAGCCCAGGAATGCCTAGGTGCATGCCTGCTTCCACCAACACCTCCTTCCCCTAAGGCAGTGATGGCAAACCCTTTAGAGACAAGTACACAAACTGCAACCCCCAAACCACTTATTTATCAAAAGTGCCAGTACTGCAGTTAAACCTGACTACTGAGGCTTTAGTGTAGAAAACATACAAAACATAATAACACAAATAACACCAATGCCACAGGTTCCCTACCACTGCCCTAAGCGCATCCTGGGTCACCAGATTCATGTCTAATAGTTTTAAAATCTCTCAGCCAACAACTGAATTTACTTTTTGAAAGAAAATAATGAACCAGACAATTGCTAATACGGAGCACAGCAGTCTTCGCTTGGACAGGAGCTTACCTGCTAATAAAATGGTGATTCCTTGGTGGCAGGATTGAGTGATAACTCACACCAGGAAATGACCAAGAGGATTGATGGGGCCCACACAGAAAGAGGAGATGATAATACATAAAGCTCACAAAGACAGCGACCTTCTCAGAATAGCAAATACTTTGCTCCAGACATTGGAGGTCAAGCTTAAGATAGCAAAAAATCCTAAATATTATTTAAGATAAGCCCTCATATTTTAGAATTTTTAAATGTTGGGTTTTTAAGTCTATATCTTTTGGTGAGTTTGTAACTTACATCTGTATAATTTGGTTCATTTGTGACTTAGCTTTAATTTAACCTACAAGTATTCTATTATCCATAGTGATGTATATTTTTTGGCTTTTTTGTCAAATTTTTAAGCCTGAGGTGTTTCTCTGCTTCTACTTAGAGCTTTGTAACTTAGGTATAAGTAGTTCCCTTAAAATATTGTCAACAAAATAAACTAGCTGTGCATCCTTTTAATATTTGTTAGTTATTCTGGGATTACTCTCCAAGATAATAAACAAAATTATATTGTTGGCAGGAGGAAAATTTCTGAGTTACAGCACAGGAAAAGCTTCTTAAATTTACATTTGATGCAGTAGCTAACACTATTAAGATGAAAAGAGAAACAAAACTAACCTCGTATTTCCTCCTCTCCTCATTCCAAGAAAACTCCCTTTTTTTTTTTTTTTTTTTTTTTTTTTGTATCGAGAATCAAACTCATGACCTCAGGCTTGCCAGGCAAGCATTTATGCTGCTGAGCTATATTCCCGGTTCCCCAAGAAAACTCCTAATTGGAATAACATTATTTCACCTTTTCCACTTCCTCTTTTCCTACTCAGTTGCACCTTGCAATAGTCAAATGTCAGGTTATAGATTTCAATAGAGAAACGCTATCAGATAATCCCCATTCCACAAAACTCTAAGTTATATTCACAGAAGGAATGGAACATAATAGCACTGTCATAGAAAAGAATTGAGTCCTTGACAAGGCACATTCTGAAACAAATACTAATTCAGTATAGAGGGAAAATGAACAAAATGAACACAGCCAAGAAAACATCTGGGGCTACTGGACCTAAGGAATTATGGTTGGGGAAGTTATTGCTCTGGCTATAGCACTGTGAGTGACATATGCAATTTGAACTGTGATGCCAAAATGATGTAAAGGTATGTATTTGTGTTGATCAATCACCTAGCCTTGAGCTACATATTTTTATTAACTGCTGGAACTGAGTCTAGTATAATTGAGGAACTATGCTTCTAATTTTAGTTTAGTTTAGGTACTTTGAGCATGAAATCTGTGTCCAAAGCACAATTTACACAGAACCAAGCCAAGGCAGACACGGCACATTGCTGAATCTTTGGAAACTTCCCTGGATTCTGCTGCTGCAAGGAAAGTGATGGAGACCATTTCCCTTAGCGACAATGAAAGGGAAGCTGGACCCTAGAACCTACAACATTATGACTAGAATGTAAATGTAGAAATAAGACACAAATATGCCCCACAATTGGTGATGTCCCACACCATGGTCTTCGCAGTAAGAGTGATGCTGGCTGACCAAGTGGACAGTGCATAGTGGGCACGATGAACATGGTCTCAACCTCAGACTCCCGGGTCCTATGGACCCTGTCACACAAGCCTCTCTACATGCTGCTGTCTCACCTGGACCCAGAGCACCAGCACTCAGAGGGCCATAACTCCATGTCTGCAGTTCACTGTTACACCTGCTTCAGGTTGATCCTTGTCCTGAGATAGCGACCAAATTCTTTTAAGAGCTTGTGACAGGCAGGAGCTCTGGAGAACATGCAGAGCAGCAGCAAAGGGTGCACAGCAAGGCCTCCAAATTCTGAACAGAGGGCAAAGTCTGTGCCATGCATGTGGCCCAGGACATGTTTGCTGAAATATATGATGATAATTTCCACCCTTAAGCAAGTAAAATCTCCCAAGGATCTGATTCTTATATTGCTGGTTCATTTTTGTGTTGCCTATGAGACAAAAAATATTTTTTCAGTAAATACTTCATGGATTCGGTGTAATCTTCTAATGTTTGCAGGTCCTGTGATTGTTCCCTTGGTCCTTGCAGGTTGACTTCAACTATGTGGCCACAGAGCGCATGTTGAGGGATCACAGAGACCTTCCCTGGTCTCACATCTCCAGATATTGTATCCAGTGCTTGAAGTTTTTGCTAGTTAACAATTTCAGACTCCACTCTATTAAATATCATTTATGCCGATATTGTATCCTGCATTGGTCCCTCAATTACTACTACAATAATAGGTCCGGCCACTGAAAATTGTCCTTTTTATTCGTATAAACTTATCACTCACATGATGGCTGTAACTCTCTTTTAGAAATCTTAACACTCAATGAAAAACTGTTAAATGCAAAACTAGTACATTTCTTTTTTAATTGGAAAAATTATGGCCCATTTCACTTCAGTGAAGGCACTTCTTTCAGGTTGAAAATGTTTCATGGGGCAATTAAAAATAAGTTTATAAAAATAAGAAGTTCTAGAAAATTAAGTATATATTGGTTCTACAAAATACAAACATGATGTTTTATTGTATTGAAGGGAGGGAAAGACCTCACAAGGGGTGGTGCTTGATGCAGAGGGAAGAGCTTGTGATTGGACATGGATCGCAGTTTTGTGAAGGAGGGGCTGTGTCCCAACACTTCCTACAGCACTACAGTTAAAAATGGTGAAGACTCTCAAGATTGAAAATCCCACCAGGTGGCATATGCCATCCTGCCCCAGAGGAAATTGAAACCATGGCAATGCCAGGAGGGGGTATAAAAGAAAGGGAGAATAAAATATGCAAAGCACAATACAAAAATGGATAAAGGTTAAACATTAGAAAACCAATGAAGTCAGCAAACAAAAGAAGTAATTATAAAAATTGTTTAGAGCAATTCATTTTGTATAGATAATGTGATCTTAATTTCTGAGTACTATTTAACAATGGTAATACTATAATTTATTCCTGAATGTGCTGATGGGGATTTGGGTATTTTCCACTTCTGGCTGTTATGAATAAAGTTAATTTGACTAGTCTGACACAACCTGCTGTGTGAACTGTTGTTTTCAAGGACCTTACTCAGAGGCCTGGAGGGCATCTGTTAGGTAGGATAGTAAATTTCTAAACCTGTGCAAAACAGTTCCGCTAAGAGGTCATAAGTTCTTCATTTTCATCAGGAATTGATAGTTTTAGGTGCTCCTGGTATTTTATTTGTTTGTTTATTTGTTTATTTGTTTAAGATTTCCCTTAATTGACATTTGACACTAACCAAAAGAGATAGAGTTCATTAAGTTATGCATTGTCACTTATTAATTACCATTTTCTTGCAATGTTTCTGTACTTGACATGTTTAGAATTTATCTTCATTAATTCAGCCCTTTGAAAAGGCAAAAGTGAATAGAGAAGAAATGAACAATTACTGCAAAGTAGGAGATAAATAAGAACACCATATGCCTGGGATGAGGAAGCGGGAAATGGGGTAAGAGAGGGGATGCATTCTATGTCTGAATCTGAGTTTTTCTCTGGAAAAAAAATAGTACAGAACTTGAACACTGTGTCTGTGAAGTGGTTGACACCTCCACTGCTGCAACCATCTTTGATGGAAAAATAAACAGCATCCTGGGGATCCTGTGTTAGGTCACCTCCATGGTCTTCCAGAAGATTTAACTATTGTTCACACTGAGCTGAGATACTGTGTTTATGGGAGATGTTCAGATGGTGCAGTCATAAGAATCACATGGGAAGATTGACAATGAGGATAGGAGGTATTTTTCACCATGAAATGAAGCTGCCTCCTTTCCTTTAAAATGCTCAAGACCAAAGGTAGCCTGCTGGAGACTCTCCTGAGTGATAGAGAAAGACCCCAAGCTAGATTTAGAGAAATACTGAATGGCTCTAAATGATACAAAAGAAGAACAGTGAGAGTTCTAAATTTCCACCTGAAAATCCAGTTAAAGATAGGAACAAAAGATTGTGAAAATTCTTCCTCATGTTTTGAAAATAGCAGTAGACTCTCCATCCAATCAAATCTGTGTATTTCTGGCGGCATCTGAGACACAACCAATACATTGAAAGTTTCTGTTTCAAAGCCATCACTAAGCCATGATATCAGGCTAATCATAGAAGGTATAAAGGGAGTCTTGTCAGTAGTAAGATGTTATTCAATATTTTTAAATTATTGTATTTCTTAATACAGTGTGTTCTGAGATTACCTTTCTAAAAGCTTCTATACTGTAAAAGCAAGACTGTCACTCTGGAAAAGGAAAAACTACAGTAACAGTAACACACAAATGACTTACAGGAAATGAGGGAAAAGACAATGAACGGGGAGAATGCAGAGGATTTTTAGGGCAGTGACACGATATTACATCAGATCAAAATGCTGTGTATGTGTTACTACATGTTTCTAAGACTGAACCTCCGTATTTATGTGTTATTACACCTTTGTAAGAGTGAACCTTCATGTGAACGATGAACTTTGCATGTCTATAGATCTTGATGGTTTGCAACAAAACTGTAATTGGATGCTAATACTAGACTGCATAGCCATGTAGGCAGAGCCACCTGTGTATTTTAAATTTTTCTGTGGCCTTAAATCTACTCTAAAAAATGAAGCAAGCTTTTAAAAATTCTTGCTCAGAATGCATAGAAGGGCTTCTCTGTTATTGTCTGAATCCAAAATGATGCCATCACCCACCCTGCTCAGAGGTACTGGTCTGTGTCCTTCATTAAATCAGGACAGGTGCTGCAATGTCTATGCTGCTGGAGCTGAAGCAAAGGAAAGAGAGGGTGTAAAGGAGAATCTCTGGCCCCTTCTGCCAAAGCCTCCAAGTGAACTTCCAAGCCTGGATGCATCTGAGAACTGCTCTCAGCAGTTGGACACAGCAGAGGTGGCAGCTGGGGCAGCCCAAACTCACACTTCTGCTTCCTTGGGTGTTTGTGTCATGGCTTGTATCACTGTGGGCGGGAAACTGTTACTCTGGTGACAGTAATAAGTCGCAACATCTTCAGGCTCCAGGCTGCTGATGGTGACAGTGAAATCTGTCCCAAATCCACTGCCGCTGAACCTCTGTGGGACCCCAGATTCCAAATAAGATGCACCATAGATCAGGGGTTTAGGAGGCTTCCCTGGTTTCTGTTGATACCAGTTTAAACCATTACTAATATCCTCACTGGTCCTGCAAGTGAGAGTGACTGTGTCTCCTACGGATGCAGACAAGGAGGATGGAGTCTGAGTCATCTGGACGTCACATCTGGCACCTGAGATTAGAAACATAACAAATATGAGCACAACCATGGGGAAGCAGAACCTCCCTGAAAAGCCAGGAAACTCTGACCAGACATCTCTAAATAGACTAAATTGCAAGATCAATCTTTCCTCACCTGCGAGCCAGAGTAGCAGGAGCCCCAGGAGCTGAGCGGGGACCCTCATGTCCATGCTGTGTCCTGACTGGGACTGAGTCCTGCACAGCGTGTGACAGCCTGTGAAGAAGTCCTCAGGGCCTGGGCTGTGCTCTGGGGACATGCAAATCAGCAGGGGAGGGCCGGGGCTGGGCGGGGCTGGGCACAGCTGCAGGGCGGGCTCATCTCAGCCCTGGCCCAGTGTTCTCTGGGGTCCCTTTCCAAACCAGGGCAGCACAGATTTCCTGCAGAGAACATGTTTCTCCCTTGGGCCACAAGGCAGAATCAGGCTGCTCTCCCATGAGTAGAGTGAACTATTGTTCTCTTTATGGTTCTGAACACACTGTGCCTCTCTGAATAAAGATAGGTTCTATAAATTCTGTCCTTCATATCTCTGAATTCTCAGTGTCTTCATCTCTGTTTCTCTCTTGGCTGCCCACATTCATAGTTGTGCATCTTATTCTCTCACTCCCTCCCGCCCTGCTTCAGTGCTGACCCAGAGTTTGGACTCTTAAGAATCCTCCTGGAAGAGGCATCAGAGTTAGGTGTATCACCAGTCACAAAGTAAAACAGAAAATACTGAGGAATCAGCAGATGAGTGAGACATGGTCCAGTGTGTCCAGAGTCCCTGCAGCCATGTGAGCTTAGAGAGCTGGGCAGAGAGCTTCTGCCTTAATGGCTACTGAATGGGAAAATTTCAGTTCAACATTCCCACTGTTTCTAGCATGAGGCCTCTGTGCTTTGCTTAATGTAACATAGCAACCTTTTTGGTTGGGGGCCCCAGTGTCTTCACTGAATCCCCCCTCCCAGCCCCATATTCAAGAATCTGATCTTATTCCACCATGAGCAGGCAAGATTGTGTAGAAAATTTAAGTGATTCCCCTTCTTAATAAATCATGCAACTATTAAAGACAAAAGACTAACAGTTCACCTGGAATTCTGAAAAGACAATGGTCACAGGTCAGTTAAAGTTTAGGTATTTGACCACAGGAAATGACAAAGATGAAGTTTTGGGAAAGAGTAAGAGGCCCAGAATACCCTGCAGGGTGCAGTTCTAGGAAATGTTTCGAGGCTGAGGACTCCTGGGCCAGATCTGTGAGCCCAGCCGCATGCTTCCTACCCCAGGACCCTTGCTAGAACAGGCCCTGAGAACCCCAGCAGCTCCCATGGCTTGCACACTCAGCAGTAGGCCAGTGGTTGCAGCTGTGGCACCTGAGACACAGAAAGGCCCCAGAAGAGCCCCATCTCTCTTTCCCCAGTCTCTCCACAGAGTGTGAGGAAGGGAACCCAGGCGCATCCCTGCTTCCACCAACACCTCCTTCCTCTAAGACCATCTTGATCACTAGATTCATGTATGACAATTTCAACATCTGGCAGGCAACAACTGCCCTGAATTTTTAATGAAAACAGTGAACTTAGGGGATAGAAGAATACCATTGCAGCTATGGGACACAGCAGTCCTAGATTTGTCAGGAGCTTGATTGCTGGTACCCTGGTGATGTTGCTGCTTCAGGCATTATTAATTCACATGTAACTCCTTCAGAACACATCCAAGAGAATTGATTTATGATATCCCCAAAAATGAGGAGGTGATAATATATAAAATTTGTGAATAAAGGAATCCTCTTAAACTAGCAAATACTTTGCTCCAGATATTTGAGGTCAAGGTGAAGATGAAAGTAATCTTCAATATTGTGTAGATTTATCCCCCGTTTTTTAGTATTTTTTAAACTTGGGCCTTCGAGGCTTGATAGTTTGGTTAGTTAAGTAGGGATTTATATCTGTATCATTTGGTTCATTGATGTTTAACTTTATATTTAACCTACAAATATTCTTTTATCTCTAGTGATATAATTTCTGGCCTTTTTCCTAGTTTTCAATTTTAGGTACTTTGTCCATCTGTTGAGTGCTTCATTACTAATGTGTATTTCTCTTAGAATATGGTGAATAAAATAAACCACAGATTCATTCTTTTCATATTTACTATTATTATGAGATTTCTTCCTACGTCATGCATCAAAATCTCAATATTCAGCACCTCCTGAATTCTCAGGCACATGTTCCAATGGTGAAAGGAAGCCCTGATGCTAATCTATCTTGATAAATATCTAGTGTAAGAGATCTGCTCAGGCAGTGGGACCCATTTCATTTCTTTAAAGTCATGTTGATGAAACCTGAATCAATGGTCCCTTCTGTCCCCACAGCTCCAGGGAAATGCTTGGTCATTTCACAATATTCTCCCTTTAAGATAATTGTGCCTTACTGACTAATTGGAGCCCCAAAAGAAATCTCCAAAATTTGACCAATTTGTAAAGGACAAGTTAGGAAAATCCTTAGATGGATAAAAAGAGAGTTTATCTTTAACAGCTGTTCATTTATTTTGAAAAATTCCTGCAAATGAAATTGCAACTGATATATGAAGCAGTGGCTCTGAGGTTTTAACTCTGCTTGGTTGACCAAACCTCATGGCATTGGTGAGGTCAATGATCCATCTGCACCTGCAAAGATCACAAGAGCATGGTAGCACCCAATCTCTCCGCTCATCCAGGCTGAACTAGTTTTTGTTCTGGTTTGCAGCATAGTGTGAAGAAAACAATACCCTTGCTGACAATAATAAGTTGCTGCATCTTCAGGCTGCAGGTTGGTGATGGTAAGGATGAAAGATCCACTGCCACTGAACCTCGAAGGGATCCCAGATATGGACTGGAAGGCCCACTTAATGAGGATCTTTGGAGCCTAATTTGATTTCTTCTGGTACCAGTATGGGTTGGTGGCAATGTTTTGACTGGCCTGGCAGGTGATAGTAGCTGTCCCCCCTAGCATCATAGACAGGACAGCTGGAGACTGGGTCAGCTTCTGGAAGCTGAAACCACACATCAGCAGAACATGACCATGTGCATCTGAAAATCACCACTAACATAGTTTAAAAAGAAAATAGAGTATTCCTTTTTTAAAAATCAGATTCAAAAGATCATATACACATTTGTTTCAGGGCTACCAAAAAGAAAGAAAGAGAGACAGAGATGAAAGAAAGAAAAAGAAGGAAAGAAAGAAAGAAAGAAAGAAAGAAAGAAAAAAAGAAAGAAAGAAAGAAAGAAAGACAGAGAGAGAGAGAGAGAGAAAGAAAAAAGAGAGAAAGAAAGAAAATTAGGGAGTTAAGTAACACTGCCATTTTTAGCTTTGTCCAAGTAGTCTCACCTGGGACCCACAAGAGTAAGAACCCAAGGAGCCGTAATAAGGACATCATCTTGCTTTTGGCATATCTATTTTGCCCAGGCCACATCACAGAGAAGAATGTTCTTACAAGATCCCAAAATTAAAGATACTTCAGATGTAAGAGGAAAGATAAATCCAAATCAAGGGGATTTCCTATTGGTTTAAACATTAGAATTTATATGTCTCTGCTGAGTGTTTTATGTCTTCCCCTGCTGGTCACTGCTGAGCACTCTTGAGTTTTGAAAGAGCTGCAAGATCCCTTGCAAGATCAGAGGCAGGGATCAGCAGCAGAATGGAGACACAATCTGTTCGTGTACTCTGGTACAGTTCTCAGTCATCTGGAATGAACAGTTGCTCAGGTCTTCAACTTGGTCCTAGGATATGTTAACTCTCTTGCTCATTGTCACAAAGTTGGCTGAAAAACATGTATCACGTGAACTTTCCACAGAACATTTTCCCATTCAACATAATTGTCATGGTTACTTTTTTCTCATGGATGAGACAAAGTAAGTACCCGATGCCCAAAATTAAGAAAGGAAAGATTTATTCAGCTCACAGTGTGTGGAGGTTTCAGCCTACAATCAGCTGGCTCCAAGGCAGGGTGGCGTGGCACAGGGGCAACATTTCAAGGTTGCAGAAGACAGCAAAAGCAACAAGAGCAAAAAGGGGGAGAGCAAGATTCTTTTCCTCCCTTATGTTGTATACTGGCTGTCTGTCCATGCTCACACCATCTCTGTGCCCTCTTCTTCCACAAGCTGAGGATGTTACAAAATAAGGCCCCTGGCCCTCTGCTGAATCACTTAGTTGAACATTTAAAGTTCACAGGTTGACGCAGTGAACAACATCTTAGAGTGAAAAGCCATGTCCTTTTCAACCAGGATGTAAGACTGCTGAGTTACTTAGTGAAGCATCTAGGCTCCTCAAGTTGACACAATATATCAACCATAACAATGATATTGGTGGCAGCAGGTTAATTAGACATGATGGACAGGGAATTATAACAATCTTGTGTGTCTAATGAAAGCACATGCCCTTCAAAGGATGGAATGCAAAGTCTACAAAAATTCATGGAGTTCTCACATTGGTGAAGGTCTCAAATGTCATGATGTCTAAAATAAGCTGGTTCACCCTCTTCCAAGGAATGACAAGTAATTGCACCTTGCCATATGCTTCAATGTTGTGGGTGATTTGCTTTACACCATAGTATCCAACTAATAGAATGCCAACTAATGATTATAGCAAGATACGGAAGTAGAATGTCATGTACTGATGGTAAGTAAACATAAGTAAAGGGTCTGTATTCCTTACAGTATCTTTTCACTTTTATCTCTGACAGTATACTAAAATAAAAAGTTAGCATAAATTATGTGTAAATGTACAAAATGCCATTGACAAGGAAGAAAGAGATCTCCAGGAAATTATAGAGTATACCACAGTGATATATGAAGTAACTTAATATTCTAATACAACTTTCTCCAAATTAATTCAATAAAGTGACAATCAGAATTTGTTATGGTTTAGATCTAAATGTCCTCTGAAAGTCACAGTGCACACAGGTGGAATTTTCAGAAAATGACTGGCTCATAAATTCTCTGACTTCATCTGTGGATTAATCCATTACTGAAATCATAACTTGATGGAATTATTAGGAGGTCGTGGAATCTTAGGAGATGTGGCCCGGTTACAGGAGGTGGGTGATGGGAGTGTGACTGTGTGAACTATGTCATATTTCTGGATCCTCTGGCTCCCTGTGTCTCTGTCTCTGTCTCTCTCTTTCCTCTCTCTCTGTCTCTCTTTCTCTGTCTGTCTCTCTCTCTGTCTCTGTCTCTCTGTCTGTCTCTCTGTCTAGATAGATGGATAGATAGATAGATAGATAGATAGATAGATAAATAGATAGATAGATAGATATAGATATATCTCACTCTCTGTGTCTGCTTCCTGGCTATGCTGAGATAAGTAGAATCTTTTTTCCAATCCTTCCTTCTATCATGGCATTTTTATATCATCACAGGCAAAAAAGCATTGAAGCCAGCTCACCATGGACAGAAATCTCTGAAACCTTGAGCTGTTTGTCTCAAGTATTTTGCCACAGCAGTGGAAAGCTAAATAACACAGAGTCCCAGAGAATTTTCATTGAAATTGAAAAGATGTTTCAAATATATTCAAGGTGTAATTGACAAATGGGGTGAATGTTTAAATTTTTAAAAAAATTATCACAGTAAAAGACACATTTCCACTGATCCCCCTCAAAGTACTCCCCATTGCTTTGTTAGATGGTCAAAGGTGTGGTCAAAAATCAGTGAATGCTTCTGTCAAGAGCCATCTAACAAAAAGACACACTCTTGCATATATTATGATCTTTCCTAATCTACCTGATTTTTTTTTCAGACAGGGTCTCACTATGTAGTGCAACCTGATCTCAAATTCATGGTGATCTTCCTGCCTCAGCCCCCTGAGTGCTGTGATTACTAGCATGCACCACCATGGCCAGCTCACAGTGTAACTTCTGGCTGTTCCCCAAAGTCAAAAATGACCATGAAAAGTAAACATTTTGAACTGATTCAGGACATCAAGGAAGCCACAATAGCACAAAGACACCCACGAAAGAGGACTTCCGGAACTGCTTCAGAAAATGGCAAGGACAATAGGATGAGTATGTTTAAAGCAAGGGGGAATATTGTGAGGGAAAGTAATGGCAAGGTGTCCTCTATTGTAATTTTTTTAAGTGTAAGTATTTACCACATTTTAGACCACACCTCACATACATCGTTCATATGATTTCCTTTTCAGAAAGCTCTAAACACACACATCTTAAAATATTGGCCTGGGATGTAGCTATTGGCACAGTGCTTGCCTGGCAAGTGCTAGATCCTGAGTTCAATTCCTGGTACATAAATAAATAAATAAATAAATAAATAAATAAATAAATAAATAAATATTATGTGGTGAATACATATACAAGAAATAAGCTCCTGAGAAAAGGTCACATTATACAGAATATAATATTCATAATTGAAGGGCTGGGGATTTAGCTCAGCGGCAAAAGCGCCTGCCTGGCAAGCGCAGGTCGTGAGTTCGGTTCCTGGTACCGGAGAAAAACCAAAAAAAAAAAAAATATATATATATTCATAATTGAGATTGACTATGTAGGGGAAGGTAGGCATATGGAACTGTGAAGATCATCAAGCCAGATAAATGTTATTGTCCTTGCATTGTGCTTGCTGGAGTCACAGAAGCTGATTATCTCACTGAAATTAATAGATGAATGAGTGAGTATGTTAATAAATTAGTAAATAAGATACAGTCATCATTGCTGATTTTTATTATAATTGTTGCAATCATTTTACTGAGTTTAAGGCTATTTTAAAAAGAAAGGGAGGGAAAAGGGAAAGATAAAAAGGAAGAAAGAAAAGTAGCCATGAGAACAAAACCTCATGCAGATTTGTATAGCCAGCTGAATGATGGGAAAGAAATACCAGGATGCACATGAAAATGGGACAAACATGTAGTAAGTGAAAATGTAAGTATAGTTCTAACAGCTGTGCTGACATATAAGAAAAACTTGATCTTCGCCAAAACACTGAGAAGTGATGAGAAAAACAAAACCATAAATGTACCATTTTTTTAAAAAGCTATTTAAGGTAATAGCAACAAGAATTGGCACTGCAGTGAATCAAATTAATACTATAAAAATTGGAGAAATTACTTCTGTTCAGAAAGCAGAAGTGTAACAAGTTAATCTTACACATGTATGTCATAATTTTGTTCTTGGCTGTTGTATTGCCTTATTTTATTGGCAATGTAAATAGATAGCCACTCAGAGACATTTAAACTGAGCCTGATCTGACGTCATTAGCTGGCAAACTATTCCTAAACATGGCTGTGCAACTGACTCTGAGGAAGGATCCAGGATTCAGTCAAAATCTTATCAGTAAGTTACTTTTCAGAAGGACGAGACTGCCAGATTGAGGCAGAGACATTTAAACTGAGCAGCTGTCCATTAAGGAAGCTGCTGCTATGAGCAAAATAATGACAACAGTTTTGGGACGGTTTTTGTTTCACGTTGAATTACTGTGCGATACCAGCTATAACACTGGTAACAGTGATAAACTGCAACATCTTCAGGCTCCAGCCTGCTGATGGTGAGAGTGAAGCCTGTCCCTGACCCACTGCCGCTGAACTGGCCTGGGTGGCCCGTGGTCCTGCTGGAGGCACCATGGATGAGGAGCCTGGGAGCCTGGCCAGGTTTCTGCTGGTACCAGGCTAGGGAGCTGCTGACAGCCTGACTGGCCTTGCAGCTGAGAGTGGCTGTTTCTCCTGGAGACAAAGCCAGGGAGGCTGGTGTCTGGGTCAACAGGGTTTGCCCAGTGGAATCTGAAATTAAAATATAGAAAAGAAATGTCACCCATGTAATTCAGATAATACCCATGGTCTTCTCAATAGACCCCAGCTCACTGATTAACACAGAAGTTTAATTACTGTGCTTGCTGATCAGAGGAGCCAGGACACAAGACCCAACAACATTGAAAGTGTTTCCACAGATGTGCCGAGCCATCTCGTAGTCCCCTCACCTGGGAGCCACAGTACCAGCAGGCAGAGAAGCTGAGCTGTGGCTTCCATGGTGCACTCTGCGTCCTACAGCAGCAGACCGCGCAGCAGAAGGGGGCATTGATATGGGCACTGGGCCACTGGGTAGGCTGGGAGGAGCATGCAAAGCAGCCAGAGCTGAGGGAGCTGGACTCCAGCAGCAGAGACATTGGTCTGCTCTTCTACACACTTGAGCAACTTCTCCCCAGGTGCTCATGTCAGAAAAGATCCTTTGTTCAGCCTGAATATAGACTTTCCTTTTTGTGTTTACAGAATTTAATCTTTGTGACACGCTGTCTCACCGAACACTGAGACTCAGCCTGGTGGCATTCAGTACAAACCTATTAGGAGCAAGACTGAAGCCTATCGGGACATTGCTTCTCTCTTCCTCTACTGTGTCTAATTACCTTCCTAGGTGCATGACTGTGTCTGTGTGAAATAAGTCCTTGTATGAAATTTGTCTTCCAGACATTCTTCCCTTCACAGTTTTGCAGTCTTACCCAAGGTCCCTGATTCGGCCTTACCCTTGCAAGAATTTGCAAAGGGCAACATTCAATTAGGCTCTGTAGTGTAGGTCAGTGGACAATCACAACTTCACAGATGAGCAGCGCTGGGTTTCTCTTCTTTTCCTGTACTGATACCATTTTCCGGAAGACAGATAACAAAATTTTCCCCGCAGGTCAATGAATGGTAGACAAAGGCTCCAAAAACACACAGTAGGGAAAGGAAAGTATTTTCAATAAATAGTGTTGCAGGAAAATGGATACACTAGCAAAACTATCGGTAAATATTTTTCCCACACTATCTAAAAAAATTAATTCAAAGTTTATTAAAGACTTACATATAAAATCTCAAACTATAATATAAAAAATGGGGAACTGACATTGGGGAATCCTTGGCATTGGTCTGGGTAGTAAATTTTCAGATATAACACAAAAGTCACAGGTAACAAAAACAAAACTAAAGAAGTGGGACAAAAAGCCTTCTGCAAAACAAAGAACGTATTCAACAAAAGGAAAAGGAAAAGAAAATCTACAGAATGGGAGAAATTATTTATAAGTCAAACATCTAATAGATAGTTAATATCTAAGATGTATGTCCGCACAACTCAATAGCAAAAGCAAAAAGTAAACACAGAATAACAAAATTTAAAAATGAACCAGAATACAAATATTTCCAAAGGAGAAATAGAAAGATCAATAGATATTTAAAAAGGTGCTCGTGTTGTTAATCATGCTAATCATCATGGAAATACAAATGGAAACCATAATGAATATCACATTTTGTCTATATGGATGATTATTTCAAAAAGATGAATACTAGCTATTGTTGAGGGTGTGGAGAACAAGGAAACCATGGGCTACTATTGGTGGAAATGTAAACTGATACAACTATTATGGAAAACAGTTATGGAGGTTTCTCAAAATTTAACAATAGGAGCACTATATAATCCCATCTGTGGGAGTATCTCCAAAGGAAATGAAGTTAGAATCTTGGAGCAATATCTGCACTCTTATGTTCAGTAAGCATAATTCACAGTAGCCAAGATGTGGAAGCAGCCTATATGATGGAATATTATTCAGTTATAAAATAAAATGAAAAACCTACCATTCCTGACAACATGGATGAACCGAGTGGATCACATGCTAAGTGAAATGACCCAGGCGCTGTTGGTTAAATACTGTATGATCTCACTTATATGTAGATTCTAAAATGTCCATACTCATAGAGGCCTGGGGAAGTCCCACCCTGAATAAAAATGTAGAAGGAGAAAGATATTCGTTTCTCTTTTGCTCTTCCTTCTGAAGTGGGTGCATTTTAGGATTCTGTTGCCTGTGGATACCAGAGTCTGCTTTTCAGCATTTGAATGTGGATTTGTACCAGTGAACCTATCTCAGGAATTCTTCAAGATTTTGTTATGAATTAGGGTGGTGTACTGGTTCCTTTCATTCTGAGGTTTCCAGATCCTTGGACAGAATAGGTACAAACTTTCCTGACCCTCCAGCTTGCAGCCATTGTGGACCATTTCAACTTCTATGATCATGTGAACCAATCTAACAAGTCCATATTTATTATAGATATAAATGATTGATAGATAATAGACAGATAACTCTACTAATTCTATCTTTCTGGAGAACCCTAATCAATACACTGGTAAAATTTATTTCAAGATGTATAAAAACTACCCAACAAAGTAAAAAACTATGTATTAATTTGTGTGTGTGTTATTTTCTTTGATCACAAGTCATCCCTGCCAAATAATACCCAAATGACTAAAAAAAATAAAAGATATAGATAGTTAATATCTAAATATCTATTGAGCACCACTACTCATCAAAGAAATGTAAATTTTAACCACAATACCACTTCAAGGCCTACTAACATAGCTATAATTTTGAAAAGTCAAACAATACCAAAAATTAGAAAGGCTTTAGAGCAACGGACATTTTTATGCATGGCTGGTATAGTGTAAATTTGTTCTTAGTTTTACAGAACTATCTGGCAGCATTTACTAAAGATAAACTAGTCCTAACCATCTCTATAATCCAGTGCTCCCAGTACAAAGAATATAGTCAGAAGAAGAGAATGAACAAGTCTATAAAAGAAGTGAAAAACCCTAAAACTTAATAACAACTTCAAACCTAAAACAGCTCATGAATCCAAGAATGAATACATTCATTGGCATGTTCATATAACAGAAAACTATTCAACAATAAAAAGAACAAATGACTACCCAGGCAAACACATAGATAAATTTTAAAAATCATGTTGATCAAAAGAAGCAATAAGCCAAAGACGTACAAGGATTGCGTTGATATGAATTTGAGGAAATATGGCTCACACTGAGAGCAAATGGAGACTTGGGAGCCTCAGGTGATGGTGGATGAGATAGGATGTCACTAGCAAGAAACATAAGCGGGTGTGTGAGCTGCTAGAGAGGGGCTGTATCTTACTCTGAGTAGCGGTACAAGGCAAAGTGTGTATAAGGTCACCAGTGTGTATAAGTAGGTATAGGTTGAAATGGTCCACAGTGACTGCAAGCTGGACAGTGAGGAAAGTTTATACCCATTCTGTCCAAGGAGCTGGAAACCTTAGAATGAAAGAGACCAGTGCACCCTAGTTCATAACAAAATCTTGAAAGATCCCAGATACCAGCTGTACACTTTGCATTGTTTATTTACAATAGATAGACTTTATTGCACTTAATTGTATCTAATCTCAGTGAATGAATGAATTAATGAGTAGAAGTTATGGGGTCAGAGGAGCAGAATGTGTTCCCATCTTCTGGCCTATAATCACTGGTACCCTCAGCAAGAGATGCTGCAAGAACCTCTGATTTCTTACCTGTAGAGGATTCACATGGGATTAAGTGGACCAACGGAATACACATTCAGCGCAGAGTTCAATATATAGCAAGCTTTCAAGACTTCAGCAATTGGCAGCTGCCACAGGAGTAGTTTTGCTCTTTATTATTATTACTAGACTTGTGGTACTAGAAATATCTCCCATATTTCATTGGGAATGGCTTCTTATTGTACATCAATTCTCTGCCTTTAAAACACATTTTTCAGAATGTGTCTCAGAGAAAGGATTCCACAGAAAAGTCCTTTGCAGGCCTGACACGGAGATCTCATTTTTAGACTTCACTGAGGGTTTGGGAGGGTTGTGCTATTGAGAACATATATTTTAAAAGACGGAAGTCCTTCCAACCCTTACCATTGAACCATGCAGCACCGCCCCCCACCCCCGCACGACCACAGAGGCTGCAGTTGTGAATGTGGCACAGGGGAATGGCAGCTACCACAGACCCTCCCCACACAGCCAGCCTGGGAGGATGGTTTATGTACGGGACTGTAACACCGTGAGAGGGACTGCATAGTCCTGCTGGCAGTAATAAGTGCCAGAGTCACCCACCTCTACACTGCTGATTTTGAAAGTGAATTCTGTCCCATCCTGTGTGCCAGTGAAGCGGTTAGAGACACCGGGATATCGGTTATCAGCATCATAGATGAGAATCCTAGGAACCTGGCCTGGCTTCTGCTGATACCAGGTTAAATAATCACTAACACTCTCATTGGCCCTGCAGATGATGGAGATGCTCTCTCCTGGAGTTGCCCTCAGGAAGCCTGGAGACTGTGTCAGTGCAGCACTCCCACTGGTGACTGAGAAGGAAGGAAAACACACAATCACTGTTATTAAGTGGGTCCCAGTCTGTTTTCCTCCAGCAGACCTTGGCTCTTCTGGTCACTTAACCTAAGAGTACCTAGGTCTCTGAATAAGCACATGGGCCAGAGAGTCATAGATATGCGGGGAGGATCTCACCACAAGACAAAGGGAACTCCTATCATCTTGGGTGTATTCCCTGCAGCCGGCCTCCCTCACCTGGGCACCAGGGCAGCAGAAGACAGAAAAGCAGAGGCAGGACACCCATGTTCAGTCTAAGCCCTGCTGAGACTCTTTGTGCAAGGATCCACCAAGCACCCTTTCATGAGCACTCTGAGGGGCAGAAACAGCGTCTAGGGAAAACATGCAAATCAGTGAGGCACTGGGCAGATCTGGGTGGAGCTGGAGACCCTGAAGGGCTCAGTTCCTTCTGGTGACCACATTCAGTCCCAGAGGAATTTCTCCTTAGTGTTTGTAAGACAAAACCATCTATCTTTTCTGATCTTCGCTTGTCCTTGGTGTCTAGGCAGTTAGAATAAGGTATCCTTCTTCCAAGAATAAGGAAACAAAGAACTTGGGTGATTACCTACCCAGCCCCCAAAGACTTGCACTTTAATATGAGTACATAGAATTGCATGAGATATCATCTTCTGGAGCTGAAATGATGGTTCTGTGCTGATAAGTTGCTTAGATTAGATACTCTGGGCCATGGTGGGTCACGGAGAAGAAAATGTCTTTCAGCAAATCTATGTCACACCTCTTGGAACACCGTGTAGTAGAGAAGAATCTCAGTTTATTAGAATATATTTCTATGGCCAGAGTAACTCTCTATTTTGAAGATTAGTGCATGTATCAACTTTTTCATTTGCTATAGTGACTTTATTCTCATTTTTCTCATTAACATTCTCTCATTACATTGTCGTATCTGAGGATGACTATGTTTCCCTTCTTTGCCTGGTAGAATTCCAGCATGATCATTAATAGCATTCTCTTTTCTTTCTCACAAATGATTCAGTTTCCATGGAAACTTTGTAATCACCTTATACTCTGGGTTTTTTCTCTTCCTAGTACACTGAGGTATTTAACTAAAAATTTGTAACATATGTAAAAATGTAGGAAACTACAAGTGTTTTAAATCTTCTGTCAACACAATGGATCTTGTCTCCTTCTGGAATCCAGTTTTTATTATGTTCAATCACATTACAACCATTCTACCTGCTATGGTTGATACATTGTGTCAACTTGAGGAGTCTAGAGGTTTGGCTAAGTGACCCAGCAGTTCTGCATCTTGGGGTGAAAAGGACATGCCCTTACTCTTCTGGGATATTGTTCATTGTGTTAATTTCAGAAATTTAGAAGGTTAACTATGTGATTCAGCAGGGAGCCAGGTGCTTACTTTGTATTCATCCTGAGCCTGTGCAGGAAGAGGGCATGGAGATTATGTGAGAGTCACATGCCCCTTAGGTAGAGGTAGCCTGTTTACAATATAAGGGAGAAAAAAAAAGCTTGTCATTCCCCCCTTTTACTCTTGTTTTTTGCTGTGTTCTGCCACCATGAACTATTGCCCTCTGCCATGTGCCATTCTGCCTCAGAGCCAGCCAAGTTTGGGTTGAAACCTCCACAAACTGTGAGCTAAATAAACCTTTCCTTCCTTAATTTTGGGCACTGGCTATTTTGTCTCAGCAATGAGAGAAAAGTAACCAAGACTCTGCCATCACTGAGGCTTCTGGGTGTCATCTACTACAGTTAAGCACACACAACCCTGTAGCTACTCTCCTTAGAAGACAGTTTATAAAGATGTTTCCTATTCAGAGAGCAACTTGATTGGAGGTCACTTCATTAGCAGACATTTTAATACCTTACTTGAGCCCTGTTAGTAAAACCTATAGGTTTTTGTTTTGTTTTGTTTTTTACTTTGTTTGTTGTTTGATGGGGCAGGGATGCATTTTTCCCCATTTTTTTCCTTAGGTAAAATCTATACCACTTCCTCTGTATCGTCTCCCTAGCGGCAATCTCAAGGGATGCTCATTAGTTTCCACACAATTTCTCAGTACGTGGCTGCTATTCTTCAAGCTGTCTTGCCACAGCTATTAAGGGGAATTTCAATTGCATCATACAATCAGTGCTTTAAAATAGACGTGTGAGCTGAAAGAGATCAGCCGTCTGTGCTGACTGTAATGATTTATCTTTTTTTTTTTCTTTTTTTGGTTTTTTTTTGTTTTGTTTTGTTTTGTTTTTGGTTTTTCTCTGGTACCGGGAACCGAACTCACGACCTTGTGCTTGCCAGGCAGGCGCTTTGCCGCTGAGCTAAATCCCCAGCCCCTGTAATGATTTATCTTGATTGGCAGCTTGACTGGACTGAGAAGTCGCTAGGTAATTAGTACAGCACAGCTCTGGGTGAGTCTGTAAGTGTTTACAGAAATGACTTGGCAAATGGGACAGCAGCATGAAAGGAGACCTACCCGGCAGGTGCGTGGCACCATCTAATGGGCCTGGGACATGATGCCTGGTTCAGAAGACCAAACTATTAAAAGTAACTACAGCTACAATAATTTGTTAAAGATAGCAAATATACCAAGTATAAAAGGTGGTAAATTATTGACATCAAAAGTATAAAGTATGGCGGGGAGAAGGGTAAAAAACGTGTTCAGTTTTTGCATGTGATCAAAGTTTGAAATAGCCTGCTATGACTAGATGTTTTACATAGGTCCCATGAAAAACATGAAGCAAAAGCCCATAGTAAATACACAAAAGATGAAGAGAATGGAATCAAACCATGATGTCACAGAAAATCATCAAATCACAGAATATACCAAAAAAGAGAAAAGAAAGGGATGAGCAATTACAAACCAGAAAATTAATAAAATCGCAATAGCCAAGTCTTTATCTAGTAATAATTACCTTTAATGTAAATGGATTAAAATCTCTAATCAAATCACATGAAATAGAGTGGCCTGAATTTGTTAAAAAGCAAGAACCAATTATATACTGCCTACAAGAGACTCACCTAGGATTTGAGGGTGCACATAGACTGTAAATGAAGATATTCCATGCAAACTGAAACCAAAAGAAAGCAGTCATTGCTACAAGTATAACAGAGAAAATAAATTTTAAGACAAAGACTGAATAAAGACATGAAAATAGTCACTGAATAATGATAAAGGGGTCAATTCAACAAGAGGATGTAAGAGTTATAAATATATATGTACCCAATGTTGGCACACCTACATATGTAAAGCAGATACTGTAGTAAGAATCCTGAAGGGAAATATAAAAACAGAAATATCATAATAGCAGCAGATGGCCATGTCTGTATAGATCATCCAGACAGAAAATCTATAAGGGCATATTGGATTTAAACTACATTAGATCAAATAGCCTGAACCCACATATGCAGAGCCTTCTTTCCAACAGCAGCAGAATAGATTTTTCTCAAGCACCCACGGACTATTCTCTAAGACAGGTCCTATGTTAGGTGACCAAAATAAACCTTGAAATTTAAGGAGACTGAAATCATACCAAGTATCTCCTCAAACCACAATGGTATGAAACTATAGCTCTGTAACAGGAGAAATTTTATAAATTTCACAATATAGCAATTTATACCACTTTCAAAACATGCCCCTGAACTAACAAAGTGTCATATAAAAAAATCAAAAGAAAATTATCTCATTTTGGGACAAATTAAGATGGAAACACAAAACCCCAAAACTTTTGAGGTTGAGCAAAAAAGATTTTCTGAAGAAAGACTTTATAGAAACAAGTGTGTACATTAAAAGACAAAAATTTCAAATAAAAAATATTAGACCTATAGAGACTAAAAAAAGAAGTGAAAATGAATGAAGCAGTGTGCAGAAGCAATGGGCCTGGTCATTCCAGTAGGATGGAGTATTTTATTTCTGTTATGGTTCAGACTTGGTAGAAATTTGTTTGGAATTGTTAGTGCTAGTGTCTCCTTGTACTACAAAAAATCATTTCATTATTTTAAAATGTATACCGAGAATATACCATGAATGCCTGAGGCCAAAGTGGAACATTCTCAACACCCCTCCAACTAGCATATCAGTAAGAGGAAAACCAAGGCAGCCCAGCTGATAGTCAACTCCAGCTGTCAGGTGGGCAAATGATACAGCTGTACTGGTGACACAAGTGGTCCAGTTGCCTGCAGTTGCATGAAGCAGCCCATGCAAAGCAGTAGAGAAGCTACTCAGACAATTCACAAAATCACAAGAAACAATAATAAATCATTCTTTTGGTCCTCTAAAGTTTAAGGTGCTGCATTATTCTGCCATGAATAATGGAAGTGTCAATAAATGGACCAATTTAAAGCACCTGTCTAGACCACAACATGGCTCTAATTCACCTCCCTATCCACTTTTCCTCTGCATAGATCTGGTCTACATGAGAGGCAACAACTCCACCTGCCTCTGCTTCATCAGATCATAAAACACAGGCTCTGAGAATGTGGAGACTTAAGATAGGGGCTGATTACACCTCTCATGTTGTCCCTCCTGCAGGGAAAGGTCTACAGCTGAAAAAAGGGTATTTTGGTTTGGGGAGCAGTCACTGTGCAAGGCTGGCTGTTGTGCTACTAGCGGTAAATCACTACGTCTTCAGTTTCCACTCCATGGGTAATGTGGTAGAAGCCATAGCCAGAGCTACTTCCCTAGAACCAAGAAAGGGCTCCCAAAGAACCCCTTTGGTGCAGAAGCCCAGTAGATGAGCAGCCCAGGAGACTCTTTGGGTTTCTGTTTGTCCCAGGATGTGGAGGTTCCTACTGCCATGCTGCTTACACAGGTGATGGAGACAAAGTTGTCTGGAGATGCTGCCAGGGTCCCTGAAGGCTGAGCCAGGGTAACCTGTCCTCTGCAGCCTGCGAAGACACCACATCCAGGGAGCACAGCATATTGCTTGACTCAGAGGATTAGAAGGAAAACAGCACCCCATGGTGAAGACAGGGGCAGGTTTAAAGCTGCTTGCACCCCTGCCTCCTTGTTTGCCTTTGACTCTCAATTCCTAATAAGAGCTGAGACAAAACAACTCTTCATGTCACTCTGCCATTTCCAAAGCATATTTAGAGCATCTTATCTCTGCACCGAGGACTAAATCTCCTTGAGAATGGCAGAGAAAATGTGCTTACCCTGAATACCTATCATCAGGAGGTAGAGAAGCTGGACCAGGAATCTCAACCTCGGGCTGGGGATTTAGCTCAGCGGCAAAGCGCCTGCCTGGCAAGCGCAAGGTCGTGAGTTCGGTTCCCGGTACCGGAGAAAAACCAAAAAAAAAGGAATCTCAACCTCAAGTGT